AATTTTAGTTACAATTACAAAGAATACCAATTTTATTAGTTATTTAATTTACTGGTTTTTTATAATGCAGCTTACTTAAAATATTTAAAATTACAAAGAAGTTTAGAAACACTTTTAAAAAATATCAACCTTTATCTTATGCATTTAAATATTGTTTATTAAAATATTTATTTTTATTAAAAGTGCTAATGAACAGCGACATTAATTTGCGACCTAATTTTTATAAAAGTATTTTTTATAAAAACTTTAATACCCATAATTTCAATTTACAATATAATTTAAAGGTTCTCCATAATTTATATATATTACGTTTAGTAAAATATGAAAAAACATAATTTTTGATAAAAAAAAGTTGCTAAGCAAAAAATTTTTAAACGTATTTATTTTCTATTTTTTACTTTCTGTTTAAATAATTTATTAACTAATATTTTTTTCTCCCTTTCATTGCAGTTCTGAAGCCTAAAGTCACAGCAGCATTGTGACAACTCCGCTAAAAAATAAAATAGGGTAAGCAAAATATGCACCGTTATACGAATTTTCAGTAATAGTTTTTTTTTAAGTTTCTTTTTTTACTCTCGCTCTTACTTAAAATTAGTAAAAAATATTGTTCCCAAACAAAAATTTTCTTCATTTAATTTAGCTACTAAATTACGAATGTATTTAATACTATTTGAGCGAGAGAGAAAGCGTTTCGGCTCTAATCTCTTGCCACTTAAAAAGCTTACCATCATGCATGACATGAATTGCATTAAGAATTATTAGCATTACTATTGTATGAGTACTTATTAGAGCATGAAATGAGGTCTGACTGTACTGACTTAGTAAATAGAGAAAGAAATTTTTTTAAATTTCAGTTTGAAGAGTAAAGAAAAGTATAATAAAAAGGTGAGCAATAAAAAAATATAAAACAAAAATTTAAATAATTCAAATTTTGGGAAGTGTGGTATGAAAAATGCAATAAATGCAAGCTAAGAAAATGAAACGGTAGCAAAAAGTAAAATTTGAACTACCACTCGAATTACAAAACCTCCAACTCAACTTTATTTTTTATAATTGAAAAGTATTTGAAAATATTAAATTCGGGATCCCATTTTCTAATCCCGAAAAATCGGGATTACCAAATTTCGATATCAGTGCAAAAAAATTTTTAAAAAGATATACCTCGGGATTTTTTAATCCCGAAAAATCAGGATTGCTAAATCTCGGTATTATAGTGGGCTTCAGTTTATACGTTTTCTGTACATAATACCACTAAATTAGTGAGTTTGAAATTAATACGCATCACACTTAGTTATTCAAACGATGTGGCAACATTGCCCAGAAATTCCAGCATATCACCTGACCGCAAAATTTCCACAACAGATGGCTTATTTGGATATATTTAAAAGAATTCACACCAAAACTTATGGAAAATACGACAAAAATGCCTCGCAAACCGAGCATAGCGACATTGTTGCTATGACTACAAAAAAAAACACCCAAGTAGGCTTAGTGGCATAGTCGGCAGGTGACAATTGAAGCCTGCAACGCCGTGGTGACGCACCAAAAGCGCACACTGGGTCACTTGTACGTCACTATTTAAGTGTTAGTTGTTGTTGTAACTCAAGCGTACTGTTGTTACGACTAAAGCTTGTTGTTATTGTAACCTAGATTGTTATTTTCTTTTGGACGCCTATAGTTTGTAGCTATTTCTGGCAGCTTTGATTGACAGCTGCGCAAGCTAAAGACGTTCAAAATGGGCTAAGCGCAACCGCTGGTCATAGACAAAAGCCGTGTGTTGCATGTGGCACGATGCGCCATATTTAACTGCCTGCCTGCAGCGCCCATTGCGGCATGACCATCAACTAATGTGGCCATATGTCAGCGTGATGGCAAGCGCACTCTGTTTGCAATTTATTTCTTTTGTTGTCATTGTTGTTACGCACGGTAGTTGTGTTGCATACAAGTGTCACAAGTGTCATTAGCAGTGGCACATCACTCCAGCACTCAGGCGCTGCGGCCGGCACGTGCGTTCAGTGGGGAACTTATGCAAATTTTCCGATGTATAAGTGCGTATATGTGTATTTGTGCGTGTGAGTATGTTGAGTGATAAGTACCAGCTGCTTGCCTTACACAAACGCTGAAGGCTGGTGACAGCCGTTGCAAATGCAGCTACGCGTTAAAGTGGGTCAAGAGGATGTAAATTGTATGTAGGTAATTACAGTTTGGTTATTTTTGTACCATTGTGTTGGTCATTATGGCGTTGTGACAGGTGAGCGCTGATGCATAGAGAAATTTTGCAAATGCATTGCAAGTGGATTCTAACTGAAATTGTGCGAGTGCAAAAATGTTGCATATGTGAAAGGTGCATTTTTACTGAAGCATGGCGGTGAAGTGAGAGGTGGTAAGAAGTGTGGCAAGTCGCTGAGCGAATGTAGCAAGTAATTGCGTGTAATGGTTTTATGTGAAATATCGAAATTGTAGAAACATATACGATGGCAGCGGCTGATAAGTAAACTGTAATGGATTTTAGTTTAAGCGAGTTCGGTGCTTGAGTCTTTTGAATTCCGCATACTTCAGGTGAAGTGAAATGCGCTACAAATGAAAGCAAAAGGCTAAGAAAGTTTTTAAATAGTGCGTATACTTATACTGTAGTCGTAGGACATTTGAACAAAATATTAGTGTTCGGGATTCGGGATCCCGAAATTTATGTAAAATATGAGTGAAAATGTTTTTAAAATGACCACAACGATCTATAAATGCGTACAAGGAATGTTTCTACAATTAATCCAGAATCCCGAAAACTAAAACCAAAAATTTTAAATCCCGAAAAAATAAATTTTTAAATATGAATTTCAAAAAAGCCTTCCAGTAGTCTAAAAATGTATACACGGAATATATAATAAAACTCGAATCCCAAAAACTGAATCTCCCGTAATCGTCTATATCTAATATTTTACCTCAAGTAAGCATTTGTGTTGAAAAATCTCTAAAAACAAATGAAAAAATAGTAAACAAAATTTTAATAAACACATTTTTTATAAAACCCGAATGCCATATTCATATAATATTTTACTAAAGGTTTTTGCGTTTTTTATTAGTGCGACAAAATCTACCTAATTTTTTGCGCTGCAATTTAAAAACCAAACCGCTTGTAATTTCTTAGAAGTAAAGTAGTGTAATAGTAAAAAGTGTGAAATTTCGGGGGAAAAAATCGGGTTCCCGAAAACTCTTTTTCAAAACCCGAAAATTTTAACATTTTTAAAAATATTTTTAGACCAAAAAACCCTTTCAACTTTTAAAACTCAGTATAGAGGCTCATTCTCGTGCATAAATAACGAAGCATACTTTTTGGGGATACCTTCTTTTTAACAATTTAATAAGAGAAACAAATTATAGTAACTTTTAGGATATTATTTTCATAAAAGATTTAAAACTTTATTTCATATATGCTTAATAATTGTTAGTCTGGTAAAAAAAACGAGTATTAAACACCCAAAGTATGCAAAGAAATTATAAATTATTAATGTTTTATGATTTCCTGAACCTTTTTCTTACAAATTATATATTTTTTTTATCTTTTATTTAAATTTCAACTCAATACTTCCACCAGTTTCCGTAATCGCAAGATTATTCTCACAGTACATGCCAACAACAACATTTTCCTCGACGAGTTTCATGTTGCATATAAAGCCATTCTTGCTTTAGCTGCTATGAACAGTAAAGATCCACACTTCAACAGTCCGACAATCACTAGCTGGCATTCTCACAGCCATTTACGCATAATAAGGCCGCATAACGGCTTGCCGATACAGTTACAAAGCCTGCAACATGCACACTGGCACACACTCATACAGCCACACGCATTGCAGACAATGTTGAGCAGCAACTGAGAGGTTTTAACTCGTCAGCTGGCGGCTTTCGGCGCAGAAAGCAAGTATCACGTCTTTAAGTGGCTGCTGCAGCAACTTCTGCGCCCTGAGGTGCTACTTTGCGGTCTCTACTAGATTTTTTCTTACTTTTATAGCAAATGCCATTTAATAGTTATGCTAAAAGCTTTTTGAAGCAGCGTGATTCTAGAAGCGGCTAAATGTTTGATGAATTGCCACAAGAAAATGCTTTCGGCCACAGCATTTTGAGTAATAATAATTAACAGAAGAAAAAAAAACAAGAAAAATGTTGGAAAAAATATTCAAAAAATTAAAAAAAAAAATACAAAAAAATGTTAATCTACTAGAGTTCTAACTTCTTTTGCCTTCAGCCATTACTCACTCGACGGCCACCACCAGTTTATTAAAATTAATTGACAGCAATTAAACTGCATTTCAAGCCATCATTAAAGGCCACGACTATTTTTTCCTACTTCAAAAAGGAAATTCGAAGCGAAAAATCATCACTAATTAGAAAAATTTTAGATTTCATACGCCGCCACTTTCTTGCTTCATTTATTCTGCTGCAATTAATCACATTTTGTTGCACAAAACGAGCAACTTCCTGCTGTTACAGCTATTAATATAAGCCTGCAGTCGGCTGCAGCTGTTGGTGGCACCACAAAATGGCTTCCAAGTCGCACACAATGTGCCACCAATTAGCTCTGAGAGCTATCAATCATTTGTGCTTTTCTTCGCCGGTTGATTAATGAGCGGCAAGCAGCGGCAATTAGAAGAGACAGCGTTGGGTGGAAGCGAATAAAAGTTTAATGAAACACCGAAGTTATAGTAAAATTATATTTATAAATAAAATTAGGAAAATTAAATATTCAATTAATTAAAAAATTATGATATTAATAATTTTTAAAATAGAAAAAATTATAAAAAAAAATATTTGAGAACTCAAATTACTTTGAAAAAAACCTATTCTTAATTCAAAATAAAAGAGTTAATTAAAAAAAATTAAATACAAATTTTAATTAAGTATAAAAAAATTTAAATAAAAAACTAACAATACAATATTTTTTAAAAATTAAAATATTTTTAAAGTACTTGCACTGAAAAATTTTAGAAAAAATTAAATGATTTTTTATGTCAAAATCTTGTTAATTAAAATTAAATTATATTTATAAAAAATTTAGAAAATTTTAATTAATAAAAAAATATTTAAAAATTAAAAAAAAAATTTCTTAATTTCATCTCAAAAATTTTGAAATAGAACATTTTTTTAATTAAAAAAGAAGAAAAGAAGCCAAAAATCTAATAAAAGAAATATGTATAACAAAAGCATTTACATTAAAAGTATTTGCACTTAAAAAGTTTACTAATAACATTATATGTATATCACAATTTCTTCTTTTATTAAAAATAAAAGATTTGTTTATTTAAAAAAGTTAAAAATTATAATTTTCATAGAAAAATTTTTTTTGAAAATACATATACCAATAATCATTCTCCGATTTAAGTACTAAAAAGAAAATTACTTTTAACTTTTTTAGACATTTTTTAGTACATTTCATTCATTCCGTCTTCTTACTTTTCAACGCCTTCTATGGCTCCGCCCAACAAATTACGCTGCCTTGCTTTGCGTGCAAAATA